GTTAACTGATGTACAGATAATAGATTCATGGCCAACTTTGGCGCATGAAAAAACGAACATAATGTAAAGCCATCTGGGAGGCAGACTGTACCCCTACTAACAATAGGGGCATATGTCCTATCTGTTAACTGGACTTATGCATGTAACTGCTCGTCAAAAGTGGTGAAGTGATGGGTCTCATCTGTCATGTAACCATTTGCATCTGAGTCCACCATCCAAAGGGGAGACGGACTGGCACAAGCATAAAAGGCACGAGGTATATTTGTAGTGGTGGCAGCAGCAGTAATCAAACTTTAAGAAGTTAGAGCAGACATAAGTATATCCAATCGGGAAGTGATATCATCCATATCACTCTGCCAAGAAGGAGTAGTAGTAGGAGTAACGGTAGTAAGTGGTGGTATCTCAACAATAGCAGTAGTACGGCCTCAAAGAGGCAGTTTAAGCTCCAGATGGAGTTTCTAACAAGCAGCCCTAAGATGTCCTGGTCGGCCACAATAATCACACTGATGAGAATCCCCCTATCTACGCTGATCTGGGGCAACCTGACAGTGCTAGACCGAGCACTGCTCACCCCTGGCNGGTAGTACGGCCTCATAGAGGCAGCTTAAGCTCCAGATGGAGTTTCTAACAAGCAGCCCTAAGATGTCCTGGTCGGCCACAATAATCACACTGATGAGAATCCCCCTATCTACGCTGATCTGGGGCAACCTGACAGTGCTAGACCGAGCACTGCTCACCCCTGGCTGAGGATCCTAAATGAGACCCTGCAGTAACTGCAAGAGTCATATGATCAGCTGGTGGAGTCAAGGCCGCAACTAGAAGTGATGCAATACGGATACAACACTCATGCTACTCAATCATCGCATAAACCTCATAAAGAAAAAGAAGTGTCAACATCGACAAGATCTAAGAACGAGGTCNAACACTCATGCTGCTCAATCATCGCATACACCTCATAAAGAAAAAGAAGTGTCAACATCGACAAGATCTAAGAACGAGGTCCCTCAAACTCATTGTAAAGCCCCATAAGGAACTTGTGAATCCTATCCTCCTACTCTCGAATATGCAAGAATACTGCCCCCTAGGGCTCTATCCTCAAAATAGCAGCAAGGGAACGTAGTGTCTCATAATCAAGTCAGCGCTAGGTCAAATAGTCATAATAATCTTGAACNGGCACTCATGCTACTCAATCATCGCATAAACCTCATAAAGAAAAAGAAGTGTCAACATCGACAAGATCTAAGAACGAGGTCCCTCAAACTCATTGTAAAGCCCCATAAGGAACTTGTGAATCCTATCCTCCTACTCTCGAATATGCAAGAATACTGCCCCCTAGGGCTCTATCCTCAAAATAGCAGCAAGGGAACGTAGTGTCTCATAATCAAGTCAGCGCTAGGTCAAATAGTCATAATAATCTTGAACAGTCATATCTCCCTACCGAGCATATGAGAGCTCCTCAAAAAGCTCATAAACACGAACTCCCCGTCCTAACTGGGAATACATCTTTGATAATGCGCTCCATAGCTTCAGAATAAAGCTATGAAACTGGTGGATCCTGCAAATAGATGGCTCCATCGAGCCAAATAACCATCCAAGATTGGCATAGTTATCAGAAAACCACACAGAATATCCAGAGTTGGCATTAGCTGGCTTTAGGTGATATTCCGTCAGCCAATCAAGCTTCCCTACACGACCTAAGAAAAGCTGAAATGAGCGAGACCACTCAGCGAATTACGCTCATTCAACAATTGTGCCGTAACTTTTTGAGAGATTATGCCCGATAGTGCTGGTAATGCAACTGTGTCAATAGGTACTGTATACTGGTCAAACATAAAAGTGAAAGTACCAATAGATGTCTCAATGATAGATGTGTCAACAGTAAGGGTCTCAAGTCCCACAGTAGAAGCCAAACCAATAGCAATACTAGGGCACCCGTGATAAAAAAAATAACTCTAAGATAAATAAAGAGATAAAATAAGAGAGAACAATATACCTCCAGTCGAACAGTTGTGACAGATAAAGAAGGTCCAGAAAACTCCCAATAATCATGTCACAGTGCCTAGAAATCTAATAAATATAAATAAATGATCTACTACGTCAAAAGCAAATCAACGAAGAAGAGGATTCAACCCCTCTTAAAAAAATCCTAAATATTACAACCTGATAGCACTGTGACAAAGAATGCGAACAACGAAGCCACAATAAAAAACACGACCCGACAGTGGGTTGACGAGTGGGCTGGACAGTGACCCAACAATGGGTAATGGGCTGGTCTGGGCTGTGGGCTGGTCTGGGTTTATTGTTGTGTTGGTCTATTTTTTTTTTTTTTTACTGGTCTGGGTTTATTTGTTCCCTTGGACTGGTTTGGCAGACTGGTCTGTTGGTAGTGGACTGGTTTGGCAGACTGACTTGGACTGGTAGGTAGCGGACTGGTTTGGCAGACTGGTCGGTCGGTGCTTTATGGCTGTCGGTGAAACTGTGTAGCTGTGTTGTCGGTGAAGCTGTGAAGTTGTGCTGTCGCAGTGGACTGGGTTTTGGTTTGCAGTTGGTGGTTTTGGTTTGCTGAGTTGTGGTGGTCTGCTGGGCAGTCAGTGGGATGCTGTGATGGTGGCTGGGCTGTGGTTGCTGCTATTGCACAGTGGTGGTGGTGTGGCTAGTTTGTTGTGGCGGTAGGCTGCAACGAGGTATAAAAGGCTAAGGTTATGGTTAGGGTTGAGTTAGGGTTTTGGCTCTGATACCAACTAAAGAAATATGTGTGAGTTACAAGGGATATAAACTAAGTGTAAAGCTCCCGTATATATAATCAATGAAAATTACAATTAGGATAAAAAAGTAAAAAAAAAAATTATAATAAAACTTAATAAACTAAGTTGTTATATGTCCAACATAGTAAAAGCTGATGAGTTTTGTGTTATGGATGGCTGTGCTTGGGAAGCTGTGCACTAAGGATAAGTTACAGAATTTCATGTGGCGCATGGGAACAAGTTGCTACTTTTGTAGGAATGAAATAAAGACTCATGAACTCCTCTTCTTCAACTGCCCATGTACTGCCAGTGTGTCGAACCAGATTATGCATAAATGTGACACAACATTACTTCCAGCTCCTTGGCAGTAACTCATTTCCAAATTNTTCTTCAACTGCCCATGTACTGCCAGTGTGTCGAACCAGATTATGCATAAATGTGACACAACATTACTTCCAGCTCCTTGGCAGTAACTCATTTCCAAATTGGCTGAGGAATGAAAAAGGCAAATCACTGAAAGTTATTGTGCTCAAGTTGTGTTTGGTAGCAACGGTCTATGTACTTTGGAGGGAGAGGAATTCTAGAATATTCAGAAACGAATCTAGAGATACAAACTCATTGTTCTGCACAATTAGTAATGTGGTTCGCAATAGATTACTAACTATAAAAGTTAGGGGCATCTCTCAAAATGCTAGAATTCTTCATAGTTGGCACCTTCTAGCCCTCGAGCTTGATCCAGATCTTGTTTTGTGTTCCTTTGGTTGTTAAGCTATCTTTTCTTTGTAATGCTAGTTTTTAATTGCAAACTCCACTGATGTATTAGTTGGGTATGCTTGCTAAATGTAGACTTTTGCAATATTGAATCAATAGATTTTATATATTTACCCAAAAAAACTTTAATAGCACACTTGGGAGACCCCCTTTCCCAGTAATAATCTCTCATTATCTCTTTCACCAAAAACACATTGTCACCTATTCTCCTACCTGGTATAAAGGCGGACTGATTCTGGTTTGTAAATGGTTGTAATACCACTTTAATTCTATTAGAAATCACCTTTGAGATGATCCTGTAAAGGGTGTTAAAACAAGAGATTGGTCTATAATCTCCCACTGAAGTTGGATTAATTATTTTAGGCACCAATACTAGAACAGTGTTGTTAATTTCCTTCACAACCTGACCAGTCCTGAAGGAACTCTTTGACTACCTCAATAACATCTTCTCCAACCACTAGCCAAGCTTTTCTAAAAAAATAGGCATTGAAACCATCAGGTCCAGGGGCCTTGTTTGGGTGCAAAGAGAAGGCTACCTTTTTAATTTCATCATTTGAGATTTCCCTTACCATGGCAGCTGCTTGTGTATCTGTTATTCCATTCCATCTGATATCCCCTAGTAATTCCACTTCGCTGAAGCTACATTGCAATGTATCACCAAGTAGCTGTTGAAAATGTTCCACCACTTCTTGCTTGATCTCACCTGGTGTGTCAACCACAATTCTATCGGTTTTAGTCAATGAGACTATATTGTTTATATTTCTCCTTGCAGTTAAAGTCTTGAAGAAGAATGCTATATTTTGGTCTCCATCCTTGAAAATAACAACAAATTTCATTACAGGAAAACCACTTCAAACACTTTGGATTTCATTANATTTTGGTCTCCATCCTTGAAAATAACAACAAATTTCATTACAGGAAAACCACTTAAAACACTTTGGATTTCATTATAGAAAATACCACTTCAATCACTTATACATTATCACAACTATTATCATTACAAGTACAATACAAGGGGACACATGGTGGTGACTGCTAGCAGCTTGAAGAGTGCAATATTTGCTTCAATTGACTGAAACCTCAAGCTTGTGGCGATTTTATCTTCAGTCTCATCAAACTTCTCAACTGTGTTTTCATCTGGTGGGGNATCAGACTTCTCAACTGTGTTTTCATCTGGTGGGGTCCATTTTATGGTGTGTGGGTCACACCAAGCCCAAAATCTGCATTCCTTCTTCTCACACACGAAATACAACCGACACTTGCTTGGCTTCTCTAATTCAACAACCATAATAGCTGTTCTCACTTTACAAAAAAAATTTGTCAATTCATACATAAGGTCAATATTCTCCCTATCTCCATCTCTACCTCCTGCTCCACCTCCAGCTTGACCACCCACATTACTGGACATGGACATTCTGCCCAAAAATAAAAATTTTAAAATTATAAAAAAATCAGCAAAAAATAATCAGCTACCACATACTCGAAAATTCAGCAAAACGCATACTTGAAAAATAAAAATAAAAACTGAAAGTTATGAAGAAACAACTACCACATTCTCGAATAATGGCCGAAAATTGACAACTATCTTTTTTATCATTCATTTGCGCTCTCTTCGCTTCAGGAGTTTTTTACCGTACCCAACCCCTACCCAAACTTTATTTTCAAACCCAATCAATTTTAAACTTATTTTCCAAACTCAATCTTTTTATTAAAACGTTATTTCAAATGACATTATCAGGAGTAAAAACGGCATTCAAAATGACGTTTTAAAATTGGTTTTAAATCTTCATTTTAAATGAAATCTTTAAATTCATCATTGCTAATGATATTTATAAAAGAGTACATTTAAAACAGCATTTACACAGTTAATTTACACACCAAAAACGTCATTGGGTGTTTTACTGCAACCTACTCCCTATTTTAAATTTAGTTTGTTAAGTTTTTTGTGATATTAAATGACATTTTTTTTAATATTTTACCAAAAAAATCAAGTTATGAATTAAAAAAAAAAAGTTAATTCATTGCATTACATTACCAAAAATGCATAAAATATTGTTTATGTATAAATGTATTTAGTGACTGATTTAGGGAAATTTTGTATATGTTAAAAAATTGTCTATTCTGAAGTAATGTCATAAGTTCATCGACAATGAGATTTGATCTACAAAAGTGTACAAAACATGCTAATATAAAAAAAATGATACGTATATATTAAACAAAACAACGTTATTACATGAGACTGTCAAAAATATAGTCTGTCAATATTGTGGTTGATGTTCAAAGCAACATATAGGGTTGTCAAGTACATATAAACTCGATGGAATAAAAGTTTTGGACGCATCATCACTTAAATCGAAATAATCAGAAAGTTCAGGATCGAAAAAAAGTAACGGATTCTCTAAAATTTGAGTATCAACATAGTCAGGATCGAAATGCTCATTTTTACATACTCGATTGCATACAAACGATCAAGTCGACGTTGCATCTGATCATTTTACGTTCAAGTCTTGCTATGATCTCCTCATGGTTACTAGAGTTTTGTGGATCATATATATCAGTCAAACGTGCCTTCGGTACCATTAGTCCATGGCAACGACAATGTACTTCAAGCTCACAACGTTTGTCATATAACTACCGCCATCTTGGTGTGGGTTCAATATAAACACTCGGAGGCGGATAGTCGGTCATAGACCCAATAATTACTTGTCCAACTTGATCGAATGGGTGACAAGGGTCAATAGGTTCATTGCGGAACTCATGTTTTTGTCCATAACAAGTTATACCAGTGGAATTTGTATAGAATCCAATTGAACGAACTATGTTCAACGATTCTGCTTGGCTAGTTGAGCATTGACATTCATTGGTTGAAGATGAACTATATTGTTTATTGTGTGATGAAGAACCTTGGATGGTTTGACTAGATTGCCTACTTGATGTGCGCCTTGACATTTTTTGAGTTATGATGTACACAATTAAGAATGGTTTATATAGGTACAAAATAAAATTATATATAAATTTTACAAGACACTTACTTCGTACGACTAACATGACTTGACACTAATAAAGCAATGATATGACTTCACACTAATAAAGTAATGATATAACAATTCAATGACAAAGTGCTAGCATGACTTGGCACTACACTGATTACATTGATAAAGTTATATCACAAATGAACAATGATTACCAATATTCAAGATATGACATTGGTACAAACAATTGCACACTGAGTACATTTGTTAATCTTCATCAGACATATAATCATATGACAGGCATTGTGCATTAGACAATATATTAGTTTGCTCAACTAGTGTCAACTCTCATCCATATGGAGATTAGATCTCATAGAGTTCAATTCCCATCACCATGTATTTTGCTAGTTGGAGCATATAATAGAGACACCTACGTAATAACATTCTACTATTATCTCTTTGAACATGTTTTATTGTTGATTGGTAGTTCTCTCTATTAAGGTGTTGCATTGTTACTGATCGTCTATGAAGCACTAGTATGTCAAGTTCTCTTAGTTGTGTGAATAGTTCATTTAATTCATTAGCACAAAAAGACCATTCTCGTCGTACTCCTGCATAATACTTTTTTGCATCAGAAACTCAGTTTTGTAATCATTGTTTCGCTCTTGTAACAATCAAACTCATCCACGTCTGTGATTGTTAAATCTTGTAGAGAAATTTGATGTAGAATAATCTTTATTGTTTGTCATATAAACCACAAATAAGGTGTTTAAATAGTACTCTCCAAACACTAGTGTGCTGAATAGCTCATAGCAGTCAATAGTAAGACAATGTAGTCATGTGAGGCCATTTAGGGTTTAGTCATGTGTCAGACCTGCGTAAGATCATTTCACTCTATTTCACTCTTCGGCCTTATCAACTGTGTCTTGTCACTTCAGCACATAGTTTGTTGAAACTCATTCAAGGTTTAGTCACTTCAACACATGAGATTAAGTAGTCACGAGTAGTCACTTTTTCTTCTTTAGCCTTATCAAATGGCAGTTGTCATTTCACTTCAGCACATGGTTTGCTGAAACCCATTCACGGTTTAATCACTCCAGTACATGAAATTAAGTAGTCACGAACAATCATTTTCACTTCTTCACCCTTATCAAATGTTTGTTGTCACTTTAGCACATGGTTTGCTAAAACCCATTTAGGTTTTTGTCACTATAGCAGATGAAAATAAGTAGTCACAAGCAGTCACTTTTTCTTCTTCAGCCTTATCAAATGCCAGTTGTCACTTCAGCATATGGTTTGCTGAAACCCATTCAAGGTTCAATCACTTCACCACATGACATTAAGTAGTCACGAGCAGTCACTTTTTCTTCTTCAACCTTATCTAACGTCAGTTGTCACTTCACTTTAGCACATGATTTTTACTGAAATGCTCACCAGTTCAGCCTTACACCTTGTTGGCAGCTGTGTGTGTGCATTACAGCACATGGTTGATTAGCAATTATAGGGTTTTGTCATTTCATTAGGAAATTCATTGATTCAATGGGTATCCACTTCATGAGGTGGCTTATTGAATAGTCATGTAAGTGCAAATCTATTGAATACTGATTAGTGCATTGTCAATTCTTGGGTAACAGGAAAACAATCAGTGTATTGTCAAGTCATAGGTAACAGGAAAGCAATCAGTGTATTGTGAAGTCATGACAATCCTTTCTCAGTAAATTGATATGTCCACCGAAACCTTATTCTTTCTAGACTATATATTCATCGTGTATAAGTAACTCATTCAACAAAACTCATTTCCAACCATGAATTATAGTGTGAGAATGTTATATGAAAATATGGGTTATCATTAGGCCTTAGAGGATGAGTTCTTCTATACACTGAATCCTAGTTTACGTTATTCAAGCAGGGATTGCATGGTCATAAGCACCATGCGGGCCAAATTGCAATATCGTTTGACAAAGCGAGAAAATCTTAGTGGAGATATGCAAACTTGCAATATACAAAGGCCTCGACAAATTGTCATCCAAATGCCAATTAAGACACCTCAACAATTGGAGTGAGCATTGTATCATTTTTTAGTTGAGAACAATCGCATGGCAATCCATTTAAATCGTTACAACCTCTATTGCATCGGACGAGACCGTGCTGAAGAAGGGTTAATGAAAAAAGCACGTATAAGTTTTCTCTTAAGTTTCCCCTGGGCCCAACCCCGACCCTATCGTCTACCTTGAATTCGCAATACGGCTCTCACATGACCTATACCTATAAGTGTATCATCCTGTGTCAACCCCTCCTCAACTAACATAGGATCTGGTAAAGAATGCTCAAGAGAAATGGTAGGTCGGGCTACGCGCGATGACACTATTGATGCATGACACGGCAGGGGTGTTAATATAACTGATGTTGTACCACATGTTGACACTGATGGTGGAATGTAGGGAACATTTAAAGGTGTAGGAGAAGGTGTCATTGCAACTGTAGGGGTCAGTACTCCTGAGATGATTGGTGATGGTGTCGATGCTGATGCATGTCCGTGTCAGTTCTAGTATCGGTGTCAGTGTTAGTGTCAATGTTGGTGCTAGTGATGGTGTCGGTGTTGGTGTCGGCTCCTGTGTTAGCGGTGAAGAAATAGGAGTAGTAAAAACACCAAAAGGCGGTGCCTGCACAGATGTAGACGCAACATCAGCTGCCGAGATTGGAGCATTGAAAAGTCGTTGCTGTTCATGGATGGATGTCAAACACGAGGAGCTCAAATCTAGAATACGCCCAAGAGTCTCCATGCAAAGTGTCAAATCTAGGTTGCCCTTCTGTGTAAGAGTCTCTTCCTACAAAAAAATTACATGAAATATTTATTATAGTAAACAATTCCATATTTTTGACGTACCAATATAATAGTAAATCATTTTACAACATCTTACCAGTAGCTCTATGATGTTCCCTACTAGCTGAAAATCAACAGTATGCCTAGTAATGGGGGGATCGACAAGCCAACGAATGATGCGATGATACCATAGCATGTATGTTTCAGTAGGATTCATCGGTGTTTTAGCCAAGTCTCTTGTAACAAGGGTATCATGACGATGGGTCCACATGTCTATGTACACCTGATGAACATCGGTCCAATCCCGACCCGATATCTCGCGACAGTTGACAGCATGCAAGGCCCTACTAGTATCACATATTGATGGTATGCGTTGTACAAGACTGAACTATCGAGTAACACAATCAAAAAAATTCACTCACGACATCAAAACAAATCAATAGGGAGTGTGCGCCAAATATTTTACCCAATAAGGCAATAATTTGGCAGTTGACTCATGACCTCAGCAGTATACTGCTCACATATCATCTGCAACATAAATTGTGGGCAAACATTAATAAATGTAGAAGTATTTTTTTAAAAAAATGGGCAGAATTTTTCCTGTAAATTGAAACTTTT